TCACAGCAACCTTCAACTCCTGGGCTCAAGCGAGTCTCCTGCCTCAGCCTCCCAAGTAGCTGGGACCACAGGCGCCCGCCACAACGCCTGGCTATCTTTTGGTTGCAGCCGTCATTGTTGTTTGGTGGGTCTGGGCTGGATTTGAACCCACCACCTTAGGTATACGTGGCTGGTGCCTTAGCTGCTTGAGCCACAGGCACCGAGCCAACATATGATTACTCTTATGAGGACTATTAAAACAAAGAAAGGCAATGCTGGTCTTAACTCTCATTTAAACTTTGTTCTTGCCCCACCACACTTGATTCTTGTTTTATTGTTTCTTTGTATGGGCACCACCATGCTTTTTAGAATAAAGGGATGGTGATAGGGGATAACAAAAACGAAATATTTCAGGTTGCATTCCAATCCCACAATGCCTTCTCGAGGAGACCTACTTTTTCTTTGCAATCCACGAAGCTGACAATCTTCCCTGTACCATTTTATCTACTTACTCCTATAGCCTACTTTTCTTCTTCGGCCTGCAAATGCTGATTGCACCTCTAATGCACACCAGAGTCAGTGTGCGGGCAGTATGAAAGGAGCACCAGGGCTCCTGTTCTTCAACTCCTGCCTGGCGTGTTAAGAGAAGCGGATTCCACTGGTTATTTACTCCCAGGTCAGAAAAAAATCAAAAACATTTCTCTGAAAACGATATACAAATGCCCGCGAAGCATATGAAAAGATGCTCACCACCAACCAGCCTCAGGGAAATAAATACAAGCCAAAAAGCACAGGAGATACCGCTTCACACCCCCAGGATGGCTACAGTCACAAAGACAGACAATAACCAAATATTTATAAGGTTGTGGAGAAATTGGAACCCTTACACCCTTCTGGTGGGAATGGAAAATGGAGCAGTCATTTTGAAAAACAGTTTAGCAATTCTTCACAAATTAAAATAGAAGTATCATATGCCTAAGCAATTTCATTCCAAGGTGAAAATTCCTCAGTGAAAACATGTTCAAACAAAAACTTGTACACCAATGTTTGTAACACCATTATTCATAAAAGCCCAAGAGTGGAAACAACCCAAATGTTCCACAACTCATGACTGGATGAATAAAAGTGGAGTACGTTATCACACTCAGGTACGTTGTTGACAATGGGGGAAGCTGGAAGGCATGGCCATGGGGAGGTATGAGAACTCTTCTGCACCCTGTTTTTCTGTAAACCTAAAATTGCTCCAAAAAGATAGTCTTTTTTACAGTGCGATAGACCCATATGATGGAATATTATTCAGCCATAAAAGGGAATAAATTGCTGATACATGCCGCATTGCTGAACCCTGAACACTCTAACATAAAGAAACCAAACACAAAAGGCCACATAATACATAATTCCATTTGTTTGAGGTGTCCAGAATAGGAAAAGTTATAGTAACAGAAATAAGATTCGTGTTTGCCAGGGACTGGGGGAAAGAAAGAAAAGAGAGTGATGGAAATAGGTATGAGGTTTATTTGGGGGAGGGAAATAAAAATTTAAAATGGTGATGTTTGCACGACAGTTTGAATAGACTAAACGCTACTGGATTATACTGTTTCAGAGGGTAAATTTTATGGTATATCTCAATTTTTTAACAAAGATAACAGGGCTAAGGAAGGGAAGAAGGCAGTCTTTGTCCCTGGGCATACAAGGTAATGATTTTATTTCTTAGCTGTATTTTTCTGACTTTCTTTAACTCATCATCTCTTTCTTAATTATCGAGAGCACTCAACACCCTTTGTACAATGCTCATCTGTCTCCTTTATAGGCTGCCTTTGCTTCCCCACTGTCTATCATTCCTTTACTTTTACATACTATTCCAAAGTGGGAGATTATTAACAAATTCAACACAACTAACATTCACCAGGAGCCATTATGAGTTAAGAGGATTTTTTTTTTTTTTCAGTTTTTGGCTGGGGCTGGGTTTGAACCCACCACCTCCAGCATATGGGGCTGGCGCCCTACTCCTTTGAGCTACAGGCACCGCCCAAGAGGATTTTTTTTTCACATAGTTTAAGCTTTGCTCTGTAACAAAATAACATCCTCTTTGGTTAACCAAGCCACGATGAAGGATAATTCATTGTGATACACTGTCCACATAGAAGAAAACAGCGGACAGAGATGCCAGGATTCAGTCAAAGAGGACACAACCCTGGTCCCATCCAAATAAAACTATTTATAGCTCCTTGTACAAAAGTATTATTACCAAAAAGAAAACTAGAAGATAAATGTAAGGAATCAGGAATCATGTACGTCATTAATCTGTCTTTCCAGGCTCATAAATATGTATAGAATCACTATGGATGTTGAAAGAATGCAACATAGAGGATGTCTCCCAGTGCAAATGTGCACGGCCTTCTGCTTTCAAGTTATCACTCTAGTTTTTCTAAAACTATATGTTTATATATTATAAATACATTTCTGAGAAACAAAATACATCTGGGGTGTCCAACCTTTTACTTTTCTTCTACACACTTGAAAATAAGACTTCTCTTGGGCCACACATTAAATACATCAACATTACGAAAGCTGATGAACCATAAAAAAGGTCTACACATATACTTTTTGTGATATCTGACACCAAAGAAGCAAACCAGTTCTCAAATAATCTGCATGTGGCCCACGGCCTGCAGGTTGGACACCCCTGAACCTTTTTTGATGCTCACAGAATTTCATTTATTGCCATAATTATCTCCATTTCACCTTATAGTTTCCCATATATATATATATATATATATACATATATATTTTTTTTTTTTTAGTTTCCCGTATTTTGAATCATTGAACATCAGTATCAGTGATCCCTGACTCAATGTACAGGAGTTTTGTTTCCAATGTGAAATCACCCCAGCCATACTGCTCTGATACTGACCTGGCTTCACAAAGCCTGACTTTGATTCCTTCTTATGTCGAGCCGGCGGAATGCTTCCCTCACCAACCATTCCAACTGTGCATTTCTTTCTGGTAAAATCTTCATCACTCCCAGGGCAAAAGCCAATGGGGCTGTTTCCAGTATCTGAAGGCGTCTTCACAGGAGATACTGATTGGCTACTAGGACAGCCTGTGTCATCTAGAAAACAGGAATCAGTCAGTGTTTAATGATGAGGAGGGAATCAACAATGGCAAAGATCTTGAAGCCCAGCAGCGTGCCCCATGCAGACCCGCACCCACACGTGTGCTCTGCTTTGCAGCCCCAGTTTACAGGCGTGGGTGACTCTTTCGGTGACTCTCCTTTAATTTTTCCCAATTGTGGCCTCTCATACTCCCCTCCCACCAACTATTTTAAGGCAAAACTTCACAAGCTTTTTGATCACAACTATTTCTCTAACATTCTTCTTGACAAAACAACGGGAAGTCTGTTTTAACACTTTATATGATATAATTTGGGTCATATCTATCCAAAGGTTTTTGGATGAGATTAGTAATAAGTTCAGCAGAACAAACTCAGGACTATTAGTGTGAACTCCTTAGAGCTGTTTATGTCAGAAAAATAAAGTTGAAAATTATTGGCCACACCCAATTTTTGATCAATTAGCCCATCGATTGATTAATAGACTCTGACAGATAAGATGTCTGGATTTGAAGTTCAAGGCAGCAGGACTAAGTGATCCTGTTTTATTACACACATAGGTAACTAAAATTAAATTAATCAGATATACTGCAGTCTGGAGTAAATTGCTAAAATAAAAGTGATATTCAGATTAGAAACATTCCCTTAATCTTCAAAATACAGATTACTACCAGGGTCATTATTATAAGTTAATATGCATGATATGAAGTGACCTGTAAATGCTTATTAAGCAAATAGAAAGCCATACTGCTGACTCCTACAAATGCTTCCCATATTTATTAAAGTATTTATGATGGTTGATTGATTCATTTATACTCTGATGAGGAGAACTGTATTGTAATGCATAGCCAAATCAATATTACCATCAGTCAGTGGTAAGTTTTCATTACTAAATAATTTCTTATTATATGGAAATACTTTGATGCCAGACTTGAACATAGACATAGACATTTAGTATGAATAACATTTAGGGCTCTTACATTTTTATGAATACTAAGGGAGCTAAAATAATTCGCCATCTATCAAAGTCTATTTTAGAACTGCACATCTTGAATAAAGATAGAAACAGAATAAGGCCTGAATAAAATATACCAGTTGCTAGACTCTACCTAAAAAAGCAGAACTCCTTCATTTTTGGCCTTTATTTCATTTTTCATTACGAAACATCCTAGCTCCTGGAACAAAGTGAACTTGGCACTAATAAAAGAATTTATTTCTCTTGACAATCCTTTTCTGACTTTTGGACGCATCACTGTATACAATACCTCCAAGGTCTGTTTTGGGGAGCAAATGATTTTTAGTATGCTTTGCATGCCTGCAGACTTTGGGCTCCTTTTTTTTTTTTTTTTTTTGAGACAGAGTCTCACTATGTCACCCTCCATAGAGTGCTGTGGCATCACAGCTCACAGCAACCTCAAACTCTTGGGCTTAAGCGATTCTCTTGCCTCAGTCTCCATTTATCTTCTATGTTTTCTTCTAAGCGATTCTCTTGCCTCAGTCTCTGGGACTGCAGGCGCCTGTCACAATGCCCAGCTTTTTTTTGTTGTTGTAGTTGTGATTGTTGTTTAGCAGGCCTGGGCTGGGTTCAAACCCACCAGCCTCTGTGTATGTGGCTGGTGCCCTATTCACTGAGTTATGGGTGCCAAGCCTTTGGGCTCTTTTTTTTTTTGAGACAGAGCCTCAAGCTGAGCCCCTGGGTAGAGTGCCCTGGCTTCACTGCTCAAAGCAACCTCCAACTCCTGGGCTCAAGCGAGTCTCCTGCCTCAGCTTCCCAAGTAGCTGGGATTACAGGCGCCCGCCACAATGCCCGGCTATTTTTTGGTTGCAGCCATTATTGTTGTTTGGCAGGCCCGGGCTGGATTCGAACCCGCCACCTTAGGTGTATGTGGCTGGCGCCTTAGCTGCTTGAGCCACAGGAGCTGAGCCACCTTTGGGCTCTTTTAAAGTGTTATATTCTTCCTGAACTCCTGAAGAAACTCTGGCCCTCAAGTTATGGAGTGATGAGAATCCCTCTTGGCTGCTACTGTCCAGCTATATCCCTGCCCACTGTACTTGCCTCTTCCTTACAATTTCATTTCCCATACTTCAACCCTAAGAAATCTGAGCTCTTTTTAAAGGGTGCAATATCTGCTAATTACTCAGACAGATGCCAGCAGTTTTACAAGGCTCAACAGGTTCGCACATGGCCTCAGGAGAGCCTGCCTCTCTTTGTTGATTCCTATCCCAAAGCAGCTAAACAAATGAGGCCTGATCACTCAAAATTACCTATTGCCTTTGAAATTATTTCCCTTTGAGTCAGTTCCATAACTTACTTCTTTTCAAAGAGCAATCTCCTAAATAAATAAAAACCTTGAACTTTGGAACATGCTTCAGAATGTCTACCTGAAAAAGTCATTTTTTTGGAAAGCTCTCAGACCCAACAGATAAAATTAAACAATTTCCAGTATTGAAAAATTCTGTCAAAATTACACTTTTGTTTCTATTACCATTTTTTCTGGGGTTAAATAAGAATGAATATGGACATATCATGGTTTCAGGACTATCAATTTTAAGGACTAAGTGCTGGGGTCTAGTTAAAAATTGGGAACTGCAATTATTTAGAGCAGGGGTCCTCAAACTTTTTAAATAGGGGGCCAGTTCACTGTCCCTCAGACTGTTGGAGGGCCGGACTGTGGACCCTGGGACGAGTCAGCTGCTAAGCAGGACAGGCAGTGGCAGCAAAAACACCCAGCGGGCCAGATAAATGTCCTAGGTGGGCTGCATGTGGCGCGTGGGCCATAGTTTGAGGATACCTGATTTAGAGTGATGGCTAGAGCAATGTTTCACCTGGAGCCTGGTGCTCCAACTGTCACCTACGTTTACAACTAGGATCTCTAGGAGAAGGGATTGCAAGGGTTAAAACCTAAATCTATCTTGAGCTATAGGTATGTCTTACAGCATTTAAATCACTACATAATCGTCTCTTAACTGTATACTACAGGGCTTCATACTGAGGGGGTAAACAATAGGAGTGTAAGACACGGCCTTTCTCAAGCTGTGGCTCTGTAGCCGGGCCCCATCCTAATGCAGATTATAATAAGCTAAAATGAGCTGGATATATATCACTTACAATGCACAGTTCTTATAAACTGGCAAGTCTGTTAAAGTAAATCCACACTCAAGAAAATCAGTGCATTATCAGAGAAGCCTGAGACATTTGCCTGTTTTGTCTAATGGGACAAACACTGACAAGGGAATCTAGTTTCATAAAGGGTAGACCATTAATTTTCCTACTACAGAAGGAACACTTTAAATTATACAAAGACAAATCCAAGGAAAAGCACAGATTCATGTGTCAGAGAGTAATCTGGTCACCCGTGCCACCCGAGGCATTTTCCTTTTGCAAGACTGAAGACATGGTTATCTTTTTAGTAAGTCTTGTTTAGGCTTCCTCTCTGCTCTCTCTCCCCCATTTCCTCTTCATGGCCACAGTTGGAAGCTGGCCACGAGTTCAAATGAAGATAATGCTCCTTTTCAAAGTTTTACCTACAATAATCCTACTTCATATTTACTCCGAGATTCTAAGAGTAGTAAAGTCAAGCTGATGTTTTTGGATGGTTCATATTTAATCTTACTATGTGCTAAACTACATGTGGAACAAGCACTTATTAAAGAAATCTATTTATTAAACTGGCCTCAGTTGCACTATATTAGGCTGCTGTGTGTTTCCTGCTGCTGCTGACTGCTAAATTTGCTCTGTACAATCTGTAGATTTATAAACACAATACTTATAATTCCGGACGTTGTAAGTTAATTTAATATAAAGAAATTATCATGGACAAAGATTTCCAACACAACAGCATGAAGAAACTGTTTCTGGGTAGGAAACGGCAGAATTCCTGAATGATTTGTGCCCAAAGTGTGGGACGTTCTAAATTCCCAGAATGCCTGACAAAAGTAAGAACATTTCAGTTTGGTTTTTCCATAAGGGAAGCTTTGCTCTAAGGCTTTAGGAAGAAGATGTAGAAGATTGTTGGTCTACTGGAGAGAGAAGAATTTGAAACACACACAAACACACATACTGGGTGAAGGACAGAATTACAACTCAGACTTTACCTTACAAATGCAAACACTGTGACCTAATCATACACACCCTCATGTTCATCTGAAAGTTTCTAAAAAAGAAAGTTTTTAAAAACAATGAAATTCAAATGACATAACCACTGGATATATAAAGAATGATGGAGGCTCAGCACCTGTAGCTCAGTGAGTAGGGCGCTGGCCACATATACCAAGGCTGGCAGGTTCGAACCCGGCCTGGGCCTGCTAAACAACAATGACAACTGCAACAAAAAAATAGCTAGTGCAGGTGCCTGTTGTCCCAGCTACTGGGGAGGCTGAGGCAAGAGAATCGCGTAAGCCCAGGAGTTTGAGGTTGCTGTGAGCTGTGAAGCCATGGCACTCTACCGAGAGTGACTTAGTGAAAATCTGTCTCAAAAAAAAAAAAAAAAAAAATAATAATGATGGGCTTATGGTCATATAAAAAAACTAAAAAGAGACCAGAAAGGGCCTTGCTCATCATCCAAATTCGCGGCTCCTTGGAAATCAGTGGAAGTGACACAGAGAACAATTCCTCAAATTGAAAATTGGCAATTACAAGTAAAGAAAAAATTTGTGTATATTCTTATAATAAAAAGTGTTCTGCATTTAATTGTAGCTGAAATCCCTCATCAATATTGGAAATTTCATCATTACAGTTAGAGATGCATTCTTGTTAATGAAAGTAGATGGAATAATCAAAATAGAAAATTACCATTTTGCAACCTATAATGAAATAATTGATTTAAGCAACAAACATATAGATAAAACTATTAGACAAAAGGCTAGAGGAAAGTTTGCAATGGAGAAATCAGGTCTTACCCAAATGCACCCACTGAGTATTTTTTGGATGACTGGCAGTGGGACAACAGACGTTATTATGCAATGTACCCTAATCATCTGTACCCTCATAGTAATCTGAA